GTTTTTAAGTTATTTTCAAGGGTATTATAAATAAGTTAGAGCTGGAAAATTATGAATCAATGCAGTCATGTTTCAACTGGAGTTTATATATGCTTCTTTTATACTCTAGAGACAGTGAATAGATGCTTCAAAATTCATATACTCAAATGAGATTAGCCCATATGTAGGAAACAAAAATAGTAAAAAACGTACGTTCACATTGTGTGATTACACAATTTCCAATAGATTTTTTCATTTTGAAGGATGACAAAGATAAGACTTCTAAATTTAAGGTAATCTGCTGAGAAGCAGAATAAATCAGAAGAACAAAATAACCTAGAAATTTTAAAATGAAAGAAATTGTAAATAAATTCCTAAATTATACTCTCATCTAATACAATATTTAAATATGTCACATATTTCCAGGACCTAGGTCATGTTTGATAGTGTGAAAACCATTAGGGGGAATAGTTCAAAGAGAAATAAAAATCATAATTCCGCTTAGTAATACAGCCAGTTGATTGCATTTTACACAACTAATCTCTTTGCCTTATTTCTTGTAAGTAAATGTACAATGTCTTCTTACCAAATTTATAGCCAACTGTAATTGATAAATTCATATAAAATGTATGGATGTGTCACAGGATACTTCAGTTGTCCCTTCACTAGCCAGAAACCTCTGGCCAGCGGCTTCTCTGTCTGAGTATTGTTCACACCTGCCGGGCTCATTCCACCTACTTGGCCTGGCAGGCTGCTCTCAGCTCGTGCTAACGACCTAGATCTCACACTTACAAAGGGCATGCCAGGCGTGGAGTGGCAAGGGGTGTGAGCAAGTTCAGGCTCTGGCCACTGTGCACAATCAGACACACTAGCTGTTGCGGCAGGGTAGGCAGCTCCAGATACTGGCACGGGTTCCAGCTTCATGTGAGGCTGAGGCTGGCCCAGATGTATTGCATGTGGCTTCCACTGTGAGCATTTGCATCTGGACAAGTGGAGCACAATGGTACCTGGAAGCCTGGAGACACCAGGAACCACAGAACCCCAAAGAGGATGTCACAGCCCTGACCTGGGGAGCCCCTAGGTTTGGGGCTGTAGCTCTTCTCTCCTTCTAGTCTCCTCTATCATGGTGAGTGGGGGAAGTGTGTTTCAGTCCTGTTTGTGATACGGCTCTTTTAGTCTTTCCATTCAACAGGTATTCAGTTCTTGTCCTGCATCCAGAAGAATGAGGCATGCAGACAACTGGAGGGTGAGCAAGGCGGAGAGGAGCTTCATTCAGTGGCAGAACAGTTCTTAGGAGACCCTAAGTGGGTAGCTCCTATGTGCAGGCAGGTTGTCCAAATGTCTGCAGCCCTCAGCAGAAGGGAGACCTGAAGTAGGTAGGTCTATCCACAGGAAGGATGTCCCAGTGAGTCTGTTCACCTCTCATGTGACAGGATACCAACAGTGGGTAACTCTTCTCTGCAGGCAGGTCATCTTGACATCTGCACAAATCTGGCTGAGTCCAGAGATTTTATGGGCTTCAGAAGGGAGGAAGTGCATGCAGATTTGTCCATGGGCAGCCATGGGCGGGCCCAGTAAAGGCACCATAAGATCTCATTTGGTTCCAGAAACTGACAGCCTGGCCCCCAGGCCTCAAGCTGTCCCTGGCCTCGAGGTGGGGTTTCACTGGGGACCCGTTCCTTTTATGCCTGAGAGCCTGTCTGTCTCCTGCTGCCATTTACAGCTCCTAGGCTATTTATGCTGAGGCACCTGAACACCCGTGCTGAGCCATCCTCAGTTCCCCTTCAGCCTCCTTCCCATGCCTATTGATGCTCAAATTCCAGAGGGGACCAAGGTGGCAGTGGTCTGGCATGTCAATACTGCCCAGAACTTTTACATACCCAGCTGGGTTGTGACAGCACCAGGGCTAAGCCTTAACTTTGCTCTGATATCTGAGCAGGTGCCAGGAGTGGGGAGAAGCCAGGCAGTGGGAGCAGACACTTTTGAGTTTGTGGGGAAAAGGAGGCTTCCTGGGCCCCTCTGAGTGAAGAGATGCCCAGGTCCACAGTCACAGCTGGGTGGTTGCAACTGTTCCTGGGAAGGTGGGGCTACCACTCCTCCAACTTGGAAGGAGGCAGGGCTTCCACCTGTTCCTAGCTCCAATCTGCTCTGTGGAACACATAGTCCCAATTTCACCTCCCCCAATGCAGCAGCAACATGACAGCGGCAACTCCAGATGGACCACCATTGCCATCAGTCCCCTCTCTAAAAAGGTACATCTAACTTCTGTTAGGATAAGGATGATAACTGTTCTTTTTTATTCTTTATGTATTTATTTATTTTATTACACTTTAAGTTCTGGGATACATGTGCAGATCGTGCATGAATGTTGCAGGTATCCACATGCCATGTAGGTTTGCTGCATCCATCCTCCCGTCACCTACATTAGGTGTTTCTCCTAATGTTATCCCTCCCCAATCCCCCAACCCCCTGCTATCATTCCACTAGCTCCCCTACCCCTGAACAGGCCCCAGTGTGTGATGTTCCCTTCCCTATGTCCATGTGTTCTCATTGTTCAACACCCACTTATGAGTGAGAACATTCAGTGTTTGGTTTCGTGTTCCTGTGTTAGTATGCTGAGAATGATGGTTTCCAGCTTCATCCATGTCCCTACAAAGGATGTGAACTCATCCTTTTTATGGCTGCATAGTACTCCATAGTGTATTTGTGCCACATTTTCCTTATCCAGCCTATCATTAATGGGCATTTTGGTTGGTATAAGTCTTTGCTATTGTAAACATTGCTGCAATGAACATACGTGTGCATGTGTCTTTATAGTCGAAAGATTTATAATTCCCTTGGGTATATATCCAGTAATGTGATTGCTGGGTCAAATGGTATTTCTATTTCTAGATCCTTGAGGAATCACCACACTGTCTTCCACAATGGTCAAACTAATTTACACTCTACCAACAGTGTAAAAATGTTACTATTTCTCTATATCCTCTCCAGCATCTGTTGTCTCCAGATTTTTCAATGATTATCATTCTAACTGGCATGAGATATCTCAATGTGGTTTTCATTTCATTTCTCTAATGGCCAGTGATGATGAGCTTTATTTCATATGTTTGTTGGCTGCAAAAATATCTTCTTTTGAAAAGTGTCTGTTCATATCCTTCACCCACTTTTTGATGTGGTTTTTGTTTTTTCTTGTAAAGTTGTTTAAGTTCCTTGTAGATTCTAGATATTAGTGCTTTGTCAGATGGGTAGCTTGCAAAAACTTTTTCCCATTCTATTGGTTTCCAGTTAACTCTAACGGTATTTTCTTTTGTTGTGCAGAAGCTCTTAAGTTTAATTAGATCCCATTTGTCTATTTTGGCTTTGGTTGCCATTGCTTTTGGTGTCTTAGTCATGAAATCCTTGCCTATGCCTGTGTCCTGAATGGTATTGCCTAGGTTTTCTTCTAGGGTTTTTATGGTGTTCGGTCTTATTTTTAAATCATTAATCCGTCTAGAGTAAATTTTTGTATAAGGAGTAAGGACAGGATCCAGTTTCAGCTTTCTGCATATGGCTAGCTAGCTTTCCCAACACCATTTATTAAATAGGGAATCCTTTCCCGTTGCTTGTTTTTGTCAGGTTTGTCAAAGATCAGATGGTTGTAGATGTGTGGTGTTACTTCTGAGGCCTCTGTTTTGTTCCATTGGTCTACATATCTGTTTCGGTATCAGTACCATGCTGTTTTGATTACTGTAGCCTTGTAGCATATTTTGCTACTTCAGCTGGCAGGGGGCATGGCTTTGAGGAAAATGGCAGTCAGATATTCTGTCAAAGGCCTATCTAAGAGTCCCCAGTGAAAGGGAGCCATTGTCCAAGGTTCCATTTGCATGACCATTTGGAGTCTGAATATTTGAATTTGAAAAGAGACAAACCACTACATTAGAAGACCGGAATCGAAACAAAACATGGGTTAAAGACAGCTCAGAAACCTTGAGGCTGCTAACACACCCAGAATTAGGATATTGATTCAGATTTTTACATTACCTCTCCCTTTAGTCTCTTCTGAGTTTCAGTCAGCGATCGCTGGTTAGTTAAGAATAAGCAAGATTAGTCTAAAATGTCAACCAAAGATTGACAAAGAAATTTGGTTTTTTCTTTGCTTTACAGTAACTTAGCATAATAACCCTAATTATGATTGACAGCATGTACTCAGACATTTGAATTTGAAAACTCCCATACAGTTTTGGAACATACATCAATATTATTCACTAAAATATAACCTGAAGAAGATTACATGACAATCTCATTAACTAAACATATAAAATATTTCTATTTTGGGATGCTCCAGTGGCACTCTGTAGCATCCTAAAGTTAGGGGTTAGAGAAGCCAATTTCAAAGCTGAAATTTGATTTTAGGAAGGGTAGCAAATATGTTAAAGCCTTAAAACATTTGATGTTATGAAGTAGAATTCCAGATTTCCATAAGTCATTTATTTAGCTAAAATTATGACTCAAAAAACAAAGGCAAAATCCTTTACTCATTAAGAGGAAAGACTTAGCTTTCTTAACATTCTGTCTCTGGTCTTTCCCTTCTTTTTCAGTAGTTTATTTACAAGATAAATTAAAATATTTTATTATCCTTTAATATTACGTGAAATTCTTGTTCAAGAGAAAGCAAGCCAAATTTCACACTTTTTATTAATCTATTATTAGTATCAACCCCAATTGTTTAATGAAACCCTATAGACAAATTGATTAAATCTTTATCAGTTTGACCATGAGGTGATATTCTTATACATATTTTATAGCAAATTTCCCTTAAAGCAGATTAGTGCCTTAAGGAAACTTTCTTGTGCTTTTTTTTTTTTTCCACACAAAAGTTTTTAGTTTATTAAGCTTCTTGTGAAAAATCCACAACTGCCATAGATAACATCATTGCAGCACCTTTACTCCTTCGGCTGTGAGCTAATCTCTAGCTCACTTTTTGCCAGCACCAACATTGGCCTTTGCCGTCCTGACTTTCTGCATTCTGTTCTTGTGTTGCTTTCATTGCTTTCTTGAGGTCTTTTTCTTCTCATACAGGCCATGTCTTGCAAGTCTATGTTTGGGTTCATTTTTCTTTGCATAGTCCAGGGAATCATAAATCATGCCAAAGCCAGTTGTCTTGCCACCACCAAAATGAGTTCTGAATCCAAATACAAAGATGACATCCGGTGTGATCTTGTACATTTTGGCTAGTTTTTCCTGAATTTCTGTCCTAGGCACTGTTGCCTTCCAAGGGTGAAGGACATCAATGACCATTTGTTTCCATTGAAGTAGTCGGTTGGTCATGAACTTTCTAGTGCGGATAGTTACTGTGTTGTTCATGATGGCAGCCTATCCTTAGACAGCCGGGGAGGAAAAGCCTTTGTTGTGCTTTTATTCAAATGTTCAGTTTATGGAAAAACCAAATAATACCTTTCTGAATTTAGTCAATATGTTCATGCACAGATTTGCTTTTAAAAATTTAACATTTATGAACCTTCCACAAGCAATTGTTTGTGGAATTGTGGCAATTGTTAAAACCTTTTCACTTTATCTTATCTAATTTAAACCTATCCTTTAACCCTATAAACTAGGGGGAAATTGACATTCCCATGCCTTCTTGCAATCTTTTACAATAGATACATTTTATTTTCCTTATACACCTTGCATGTAAATCTATATTTAGTAGTCTCAACAACATGTTATAATGGTAACTCTTACAATTTTTAATTTTGGTATAAACCTGCAAAGTTATTTTAATTATGCCCTAGGTGCAAATAAGGTCTGACTCTTTCTAGCATAGTTAGGGGTATGGTTAACTTCGTATGTCACCAGGCCTTACCAAACTGTAAGGCAGGCAAGCCAAACAGTTCTCAAAAGCCAAAGAAGGAATTTATGACCTTAAAGGATTTAGTAAACCTAGTTTCTTACCTGCATAATTTAGACTACATGTCCACATTTCCAAGACATTTTTTATTTTACCAATAATCTTTAAAGCTGTTTGAATTTTTCAAAGAATAAAGCAAATTAATTAAAAATCATTGCAGCTTTATTCTTCTTTAAAAATATTTTATTTAAGCACATGTTTTTTCTTAAGCCAACCAATTAGAGGTCATTTTTTATAAACGTCACACATATAACACATATATAACTACAAACAAAGACAGAAAAATATCCGGTAGTTGTAAGGTTTTTCATTTGCCAAACTCTTAATTGTATTACTGGTCTCAAGGTGGAGCTCTTCAGGAAACAGGCCTAGGAAAACTTGCAGTTTCTAGGTGCCTAATAATCAGGCATGACAGGGAGACTAAAAGAGGTTTTGAGAGGGATTCATGCACCTCTAATTCCTGGGTTCTGATGAGGAAAACAGAGGGTTTATTTACCCAAAAAGGGGTATATGGCACCCTCTCTGTTTGTCCCAAGGAGACCCAGGACATTAGAATTTATCTTATGGCCTCTCTTGTATGCATTGAGTTGCAAGACAAAATGGAGAAAAATAATTCAGTCAACTGAGAAACAAAAAAACTTTTCCCAGAAAAATAAGGTCCATGAAGAGAAAATACATAAGGCCTTTTGAAAAGACAGATAAATTTGATATCAACATTTAGTTAAGCTGACTTTTAACCATAACACATTTTTTAAGAAGTCCTTTTAAGTACCTTATTACCCGACCTTAGTCATACCAAATGGTCAATACTTCTGGCTTTAAACTCATGAAGGAGCAGAGAATAAAGTGATTTTTTACTATTCCTACAACCATTTTCAACAGAGAAATCAGAAGTCTGACTTGTAAGAACTTCTACCCTTTTGCTGGCATTATCAGTCTTCTGGGTTCCCTTCCCCCAAGCTATGGATGAGCTCTTAAAGAGATTGCCAATCAGCTTAAGTTTTGGGGAAGTTAAATGTTTCCCAGTTTGGGGGATGCATCTGAGGAGAGTGTCCTGTGGTACAGATACGTGATTCCATGAAGAGAGGACAGAAGAGGATAACAAAAAAAGGCTTTTTTTTTTTTTACCTTTATTCAGAGTCTGAAGGCCAAGGAAGTTCCCATGATTAAGGATGCACTCAAGAGAAGTGGATGCTGAAGATGATTGGTTACCCATCTGGAAAGGGGGGAAAGAGGCATCCCATTGTTTCCTTCTCTTTCCAGTAAATACCAAGGGTATGTGAGGAGAAGAAATAAAGGTGTTCTGTTCTTTCTTTCAACTTTATATTCCTAAATCCTGGAAACCTTTGCAGGTGTAAACCATAGGTGCAAGTGTGACCTTCACCCATGAGGTAGGGAGGCCTAGAGGATAGGTATATTCACACTTACCTATGTGCTGCCCTATCCTGTTACCTGTGTGCTTCCCTATCCTCTCACTGTCAGGAACCTTAGGATTTCCTAGACTTTATGCCATGGAGGCTAGCATGAACTCTATCCACAAAGTGGGAGGGTTTAATCGGCAGGAATTAGTCATGCTCACCTGCACCATACCCCTTAACTTCTGCCGTCATCTCTCTCTGGGTCCCTCAGGTCTAGTTTCGCACTTCAGGACGTCAACATGAATCTTGCATTGCCTCAGAAAGGTGGATGAACTCATTAAATTAAGTTTCAGGTGGCCCTTACCAAATTGCTGCCAGCAATCAGTGGGGCAGACCCTCCAATGCTTCCCTGTCATAAGCAGGTGAAGCTATGGGACCAGGTCCTCCTCAAAGAAAGAAATGAAAGTCCTGGAAATTGGTGACCTGGCCTAATAAGGTCCTTTCCAAAAGAAGACAACGGCAACAACAAAACCTGACCCCTCACATATGAAAATTCCCTGTATTTGCAGGACTTTGCTGACTCCTGCCATAGTGTAGGAAAGAAAATCAACTTAAGTACAGGGGAGGAGTTTGCAGGATGGCCTGCTTTTCAGTAGTAGTCAGAGTTTGATTCAAAAGTAATATGACATCATTCCAGAAAAGTTTAAATACATGTGTTAAGTCAATAAAGCCTTTAAATACCTGTGAGGATCACCTGAAAGTTGCCAAGATTCCCCCTTAATTTGCCTTAAGTCCTGTAGAGAACAGTGTACCTGGATCCTAATGGGGCCATATTCACCAGGCATCTGTTGCAGGGCAAGAGTGAGACTTTCTAGGTTGTGGCAAGCTTGAGAGAAAACTTGGATAGGAAGGAGCAGAGAGGGTTGACTCCCCTGCTGGAGGTACCTCTGGGGTTTGCTTCCCTAATGCCCTGGGATTGCACCTTGTAGCATCTCCTGTTATGACCACTGGAGGGCTGAATCAATACTACAACATTGACAAAGGTCCATATTACACTGCAAGGCAAAGAAGGTCTGCCCACATAGGACCTTAGACCATTCGCCGTCATGTTTATGGAAAAGGTCCGGCTGCAGGATGATATTGAAATTAATGCTTCCTTCCTGACGCCATGATTCTTTCCTGTGCATCAAGGTACTGGCACTAAGTTGGCAACCAAGGAAATGCCAATAACATTTCGCCACAAATTTATGTAAAGATAAAAAGTCACACTTTGTTTGTGCTGCTCTTAATTTTCCATTTTATACTCCTGAAGACCAAGCCAAACGCCCCTTCTACCCATAATATTATCTTAGTGATTTGTAGCAACACCCTTAACATTGTATGCAAAAAGAGGATAACAACTATGGCAGCCTTGAAATAAAGAAAAAAAGAAATTCCGACAGGAAAGACTGGAGCTCCTAGTGATGACACCCTAATAAGCTGTTGAGGACTGGAGCAGGTCTAAGGACCTTCAGGCAACACCGAGGTGTGACCTAAGCCAGATGTCCTCATTTGCCCCAAGCCCTTATTCTGATCCCATATAATGACTAGATCTCCATGAAAAGAAACTGTAGTGGAACAAAGCCAACATGCCCAATCCCCGAAGATAATGGAGTATTGAAATTGATGGTGTCCTCCCCAGCAAGCCTGTTCTCTGTGTCTTAAGTCCAGCAGCCATGCTAATCACCTTCAACTGCCTGACAGAGGCCCAGGATTTTTCTTTCATTTTAGCTACCGTGTAATTTAGGGACTTTGAAAAAAACGGAGAGAAAGCAGCAAATTCACTTTTATTCACACTTTTGCAGGTTCCAGATGTGCTCCCAAACATGTCATGGGATCCTTGGTGTGTCACTTCTCCAGCCAGAAATCTCTGCGGCTGGTGGCACCTTTTGCCTGAGTATTGCTTGCAACTTCTGGGTACATTCTGCCCAATTGGCCGAGCAGGCTGTGCTCAGCTTGCACTACTGGCCTGGTTCCCATATGTGCCAAAGGCAATCCAGGTGTGGAATGATGAGGGGTGGGTGGGCAGCAAACACAGGGTCTGTCTTGTGCACAGCCAGGCAGCTCCACGTGCTAGCACAAGTGCTGGCTCTGTATGAGGCTGCCGCTGGACCAGATGTACTGCACGTGGCTTCCACTGTGGACACCCGCATCTGGACAAGGGCACATGGTGGTTCTTGGAAGCTTAGAGATGCCAGGAACCACAGAACCCCAAAGAGAATGTTGCAGACTTTGCACAGGGAGCCCCTAGGTTTGGGCTCTCCAAAGGGCTGCAGCTCTTCTCCTTCCTTGCCTGCAAACTGGTGAGGGGAGTGTGCTGTTTCAGTCCTGTACGTGTTACAGCTCTTTTAGTACTGACATTTAGCAGGTTGCAAGTTCTTGTCTGACGTCTAGGAAGAATGAGGTACATGGACAACTGGAGGATGAGCAAGGCACAAAGGGGATCTATTGAGCAACAGAGCAGGTCTCAGGAGACTCAAAGTGAGTACCTCCTCTCCACAGGCATTATCATCCCAACATCTGCCCAAGTCTGGCTGAGTCAGGGATTTTTATTTCCTTGAGAAGGGAATAAGTGCATCCTGATTGGTCCATGGGCGGCCAAGGGTGGGCCTGGAAAAAACACTGTAAGTTCTTATTTGGGTCTGTGGAACCGGCAGCCTGGCTCCCAAGCCTCACACTGTCTTTGGCCTGAATGTGGAGTTTCACTGGCAACCCACCTCATTTTGTCAGGGAGCCTGCATGCCTCCTGCAACTATCCATGATGCCCAGGCTATTCATGCCAAAGGGTGCCTGCAGGCCCACACTAAGCCATCCTCAGTTCTTCCTCAGCCTCCCTCTCATGCTTACTGGTGTCCAAAGTCTGGAGGGAGCCAAGGCAACAGGGGTGTGGCATTTCCACAGTGCCCCAGTGTGCACACATCTAGCTGAGTTGTGACAGCACCTGAGCTCAGCCTCAACTTTTCTCCAAAATCAAAGTGTTTGCTGGAAGCGAGGAAAGGCCAAGCTGCAAGAGCACTTTCAGCCTGTTGGGATAGGTAGGGGAGCTTCCTGGACCCCTGAGAATTCAGAGATTCACAGTTCTTTTAGTTA